CTACAACAAAAAGCAGTTTTGGCGACCAAAAATATAAATTTCGTCGCTGAAAGTAGGACAATTGGTGACCAAAATTGAATTAGTAGCTAAAAGTGAAGACTTTTGGCGACTAAAACAGTTTAGTAGCCAAATGTATACTTATTGGCGACTAAAAATCAGATTAGTCGCTGATTACATGGGTTTTAGCAACTAAAACAATTTTAGTAGCCAAAAGTGAAGGTTTTTGGCGACTAAAAAAAATTAACATATAGGGTGTGTTTGGTTTGATTTTGAGAGATAAATTTTTAAAAAATATTTTAGAGAGAAAGTTTAGAAATTTTTTTAGTTTGTTTGATTATATATTTTAAAAATAATTTTAGAGTACGGGAGTTTGGGATGATTTGATATTTTGTTGTAGCTGAGTAGATGTATGTGAGAGAAAAAGTGATCGAGAAGGAAAGAGCACTACAACAAAAAGCAGTTTTAACGACCAAAAATGTAAATTTCGTCGCTGAAAGTAGGACAATTGGCGACTAAAATTGAATTAGTAGCAAAAAGTGAAGACTTTGGCGACTAAAACAGCTTAGTAGCCAAATGTATACTTATTGGCGACTAAAAATCAGTTTAGTCGCTGATTATATGGGTTTTAGCGACTAAAATAATTTTAGTAGCCAAAAGTAAAGATTTTTGACGACTAAAAGAAATTAGTAGCCAAAAGCATAGGTTTTGGCGACTAAAAAATGGTTTGGTCGCCGATTGTAGGTGTTTTACCGACAAAAAAAAATGTTGTAGCCAAAAGTAAAGGTTTTTGGCTACTAAAAAAAATTTAGTAGCTAAAAGTGGACAATTGGCGACTAAAATTGAGTTTAGTCGGCAAAAGTGGCGGTTTTGGCGACTAAAAATCAGTTTAGTGGCCGAAAGTGGTTATTTTTAGGCGGAAATTAATTTTTTTTGTGACTAAATTATTGGGTAGTAGCCAAAACTAAGGTTTTTGGCGACTAAAAAAAATTTAGTCGCCAAAAGTGGCTTCCCTTTTTTTTTTTAATAAATAATTTATTTTTTACATAAATTATATTGAATAAAAATAATTACGTTTATATATATAGTTTAATATTAATACAGGTCAATATAATATATAAATAATATATGTTGCATATATATTCATGTGGTGTTGTTGTGGCATAGTGGAGAGAGTGTGTTGGTAAAGGGTTAGAAAGTAAGAAGGTTGGTGGCTCAAAACTTGGGAAGAGTAGATGGTTAATTTTTTTTTTCCTGAAATAACCTTTTGGCGACTAAAACGGGTGGTCGCCAAAAGCTTCAGTATTGGCGATGAAAAAAATAGTCGGCAAATGTATAAATTAAAAAAAATAATTCACTATTGGCGACTAAAAATTTAGTCGCCAAATGTATAATTTAAAAAATATAAATGAGCTTTGGCGACGAAAAATTTAGTCGCTACAGACTTGGTTTTGGTGACTAAAAGTTTGTTAGTTGCCAATACCTTTCGCGATAGTTTTCCAGCGACCAAGTCGGCGACTAAAAAATTTAGTCGGGAAAACTCAAAACCCGACTTTTGGCGACTAAAAATTCACTAATGTGTTTTTTTTTTTACACATGTCATATTTACGTTGGATTTGGGATGAGAAACATAAGAAAATATCACGTTGGGTTTGGGAATGTCACATGTTACATTTATGTTTTAAATTTCAAATTTCCAACCATATAGATATAATTACAATCTATGGTAATATTGGATTTTCCATATATGATATTGCCATTAATCAAGTTATTTTGAATTTCAGAAGCATATGTGGAATGTCACGTTAGGTTTGAGAATATCACATTGAGTTTAGGATGTTACATGTTATATTTACGTTTTGAATTTCAAGTTTTCAACCATATAGATATGATCACAATCTATGGTAATATTAGATTTCTCATATATGGTATTGTCATTAATTAGATTATTTTAAATTTTAAATTTTTAATCATATAAATATGATCACAGTCTATAGTAATATTGAATTTTCCATATATTGCATTATTATTATTATTGATCAAATTATTAATTAATTAAAATTGGAAGTAAATGTGTCCACAAGAAAATTACAAAACCTATTAAATTATAAATTTTTTTATAAGATCAAATTTTATATAAGTATTTCAAATATGACTTATAAATAATATATTCTATCTTCTACTTGAGTATTTATCATTCAATGCATTAGTTTGCAATCATTAATTACACCTTAACAAATGTCCATAAAAATCTGTCACTGTTTAGGATTGAAATTTATGTAAAAATAATTTTAAAAATTGAGAAAATGTAAAGGAAAGTTTCGAAATTAATGAAAAATATTTTAAAATAACATAGGCTTCTATTATTATTTCATTTCAAACTAAAACATCACAACTATTATAGTTAATAATTTTAAAATTGTCGCCGGCATATCATTGTGAATAATATAAAAAAATCTAATGTGGATCATTTTTTAATCTAGGGTTATCACTATAAATATATTTGAAGGAAAAGAAAGGACAACAGATAATTAATATTATCTTGGCCAATAATTTACATGGAAAAAAATTATTAGTGACAAACATGCCGACAAATAACAACAAAATACTCCAGGAATAATTATCATTAAATTAAATCATATTCTTGGACCATTTGCTTGTTCTATCACCACATTAATTTTCAATTACCAACCCAAAAGAGAACCCTTGTTTTATTGATCTGGAGAACCTTTGTTGTTGCCCTCAGCTTTCCAGGAAAGAACATGAACCCCTTCCATATTTATTATTAGTTTTTTTTTTGGTATCGTATTACAAAGAAGTTAAATGAATCATAATAACAGCACAAGAAAATAAAAATAAAAAATCAAATACAACATATTACTACTGTAATAAGGAACATAAACTCTAAACAAATATAAAGCGAATAAAGCCTCGCACAGTAAAAATATTCGAACCGTAATGAATTCTGACAAACTAATGTTAATTATGGAATATCTTAGCAAATACCCAAGACATTATTAAATTATTTAGTATTAGGATAGTGAAAATGTTGAAAAGAGTTCCGATAGTGGTGAAAATTTTCTCAAGTATTTTTTGTGACAATATTTTTCTTGTATATGAAAAACACTTGTTAGCAAAGTCATTTCTATACAAATAATTTTTTATTTGAGAGATGATTCTAAATTTAAAAAAAGAAAAAAAATATATTTTTTCTTATCCAATTTTTTTATTATTAGCCAAAAAGATATGTACACTAGGTGTAATATATTTTTTTTGGCAAAAAGTATTTATTAATATGAAGTCTACTATCTTTGTATTTGAGGTCTCGTTTGCCCATATCACTTGTTAGCGTAAAAGTTAAAAAGTCACTAAAAAAATGAAAAAATCAAAAGATCAACAACTTATATAAAAAAGTCAAAGAATTTATTTTTTTTCTCTATTTTTTACACATTTTTTTATAAAAAACTAAAAAGTCATTCTAAACATACTAATTTTTTTTTTACTTCATATTTTAGCCAAAAAACTAAAAAGTTATTTAAAGAACCTGTTCCCCAATGAGGTCTTAGTAATAAGAAAAACTTGTGAGAAAGCTAAAATAAATGTCCCGATACATTGTTTAATATAAGATTTATGTAAACATAAACCCCCAAGAGTTGGCCTAGTGATGTAAGCTTGGGACTTAAGAGTTTGTCCTTCTTTAAGTCTCAAGTTCAAAACCTCTTGGTGCTATCAATCTTTATGTTGGGTCAGTTCATACGGAGTTTTGCTTTGACTTTAAATGAGCTCTCTACTGGAGGACAGTGAGATTGATCCCAGTCAAGATTGGTCCCTTAAAAATTAATTAAAAATTAATCAAGGTGCGTGGAAGCTGACACTGACACCTTGAATTATTAAAAAAAATTATGTAAAAATAGTAGAAATAACAAGTCCTAAATTCAATAAAAAGTGTTTTGAAACTGTTTTTTTTTTTCCAACTAAAAAAATATATAAAACTCTTCAAAATAAATAAAAAGGTAAAACTTACAAAAAAAAGGCAAAGGAAAATGGTTGAGAGCTCGACAAATTGGCTCGAATTTTGGCTCGAAAGAGAAGAGAGGGGAAGAGAAGAAGAGACGGAAAATAAATAAAAAGGTAAAACTTACAAAAAAAAAAAAAAAAGCAAAATACAAACTTTTTAAAAGGGGATCAAGCACTATCGGTTCAACCTATAGTTGATAGGGGTGAGCATGGTCTGGATTGGATCGGATTGGAGTAAAACTAGGACCAATCCGTTATTTACGGATCCTGAAAAATTGGAACCAATCCAATCCATTTAAATCATGGAATCAATCCGAACCAATCCATTTAAACACAGATTTGATCGGTTTAGGACCACGGATTTGCATAATTAAATTACAAAAAAATATATATGACTTTAATTTCATAAAAATATAAATATAGTACCATATTAGTTTCACAATAGCAACATGTCTTTTCATAATAGCGACAAACTGTTTTAGAATTTAAACAATCAAAAGAAAATTAGTTCCACCATAAGTATTTAGACCATTACAAATTAACACTAAAAACTAGCAAATAAAAATAATAAAAGAAGATACTATGAAAGTTTAGGCTTGGATTTAAGTTTCATATGAAATAAGAGAAGATACTATGCAGGAGGGTGTATAATAAAAATATAGACCATTTGTATACGGTCCGAATCGGTTCCAATCCGAAACCGTGGGATTCAATTCGGAACCAATCCATGAACTACGGATTTTTAATTTTTCAATCCGGAACCAAACCACGGATTCAAAAAATCAATCCAAACCTACTGGACTGGACTGGACTGAACTGAACTGAATCGGATTACGAATTTCACGGATTCCTTACTCAGCCCTAATAGTTGACCATCATAAATTCCACGTACGGAGATAATTCTCAAAATACAAACCAAACAAGCCCTCAACTTCTTTCTCCATAAATACCTCAACTTCATCACTCTTATCTCCTCACGACTTGGGTATTCTCTTGAATCTGTTTCTCCTTTTTTTCCCAATCCAATCCACTTACTTAGGCTAGTTAAATTTAATTTTTTATATTTTTATCATATTTACTCCTTTTAATTTATTTTTTTTGGGAAAAAAACAAAATATGAAAATGTCTACGGTCATGAGCAAACAAATACGACCTTTGCTACACACCAACATCCCAACTAGTGGTGGTGGCGGCGGCGGCCACCTCAATACCCACCTCCTCCGCCCTCCGCCGCCTCAAAAAGAGAAGGTGGTGGTGGTGATGGGAGCCACCGGCACGGGGAAGTCGCGGCTTTCGATCGACCTTGCCACCCGTTTCCCGGCGGAGATAGTGAATTCCGACAAAATTCAAGCTTACGAGGGACTAAACATAGTGACAAACAAAATCACCCCCGAAGAACAGCGCGGAGTGCCCCACCACCTCCTAGGATTAGTAAATCCCAATGCGGATTTCTCGGCTTCGACTTTCTGCGACATGGCCTCGTTCGCCGTGAGATCGATATCGAGTCGCCGGAAGCTTCCAATCATTGTGGGAGGCTCGAATTCCTATATCGAAGCCCTAGTGGACGACGGAAGTCACGAGTTTCGATCGAGGTACGAATGTTGTTTTTTATGCGTCGATGTCTCGATTCCCGTGCTCCACTCGTTCGTGTCCAATCGAGTTGATTTGATGGTTGAGATGGGAATGGTGGAGGAGGTAAGAAGTTTTTTCGACTTATCTGGAAATTACTCAAATGGGATAAGGAGAGCTATCGGGGTTCCGGAGTTTGATCGATACTTCAGAATGGAAGGTTTTGTAAATGAACAAGTTCGTGTACGGATGCTTCAAGAAGTGATAAGGGAGATCAAGGGTAATACTCGGAAGCTCGCGACTCGGCAACTCGACAAAATTTACCGCCTCCAAAATGTGAAGGGGTGGAAGTTGCACCGGCTCGACGCTACTGACGCCTTCCGAAAGCACGGCAAAGAGGCGGACGAGGCATGGGAGCACCTCGTGACGGGACCTAGCTCTGTAATTGTGAGCCGCTTCCTTCACAATCTTGACAATGCAGCTGCCCTTAGGCCATCGCCAATCACCACAATGACGGCGGTCATGACAGGTGCAAGTGTCTAGCTACTTAGATATTTTAGTCAAAAAGTCAATTGTCACATTACTCTCTTTACTTTCTTGCATATCTTTTCGTAAAAAATTATTAAAATAATATATTTCCCAACGAGGCTTCAGTTTTTTTTTTTCTTTTTCCTTAAGTAATGCAAAAAGGATCCATATATATGTGATTTCGAGGCTTGTATTTAAATTTGTCTCTTATTCTCAAAAAATTTCTGTCCTTACTTCAGTACATTACAATGCTGTCAAAAAATGTTTCTTAGCTTCAAAACTTGCAGGATCACAATCAGAATGAATGTTATTTCTAGATTATAAATTGTGAATGTTTTTTGGAAGAGGTAGCATTATTGTTAAAATACATACCTGAATTTTGGGCGCAAAAACCTTTGAAAGCGCTATATCTTTCAAAGCACTTTTAATCATAAAAAATAATGCAAATGTCCAGACAATTTGAGATGATTCTATCCTACTCTGGTTTACTTCCTAATAGTACCCTCCACTTAAACCATTAAAATAATCTAATAGTAATGCGTGTAATAAGATTTTAAAAATAATTCTCCCCATTCAATTTCATTGGTATTTTGAAAAGATGGTAAAATGTTAATTTTTTAAAAAAAAAAATTGTAACTTTTTGACTTTTTTGGTGTAAAAAAATAAAAAGATGATATGATCAAAAAAGTCAAAAAACTAAAAGTTAGAATTTTTTACCAACTTGTCAAAACGCCCCAATCCATATATGTTTTTTGAGAAATAAAAACAGTTGTAAATATATACCCACTGAAATTAGAAATACAGAGAAAGGTGAGAACTGAGTTCGGATAATGCTTTGTTTGATTTTTGTTTGACAGCCATAATTTTTTTATGAATTTTTTTTTTGTCAAACTAATTTTTACAAAAATTAGAGAGATATTTCAAAAAGCAAACCAAACAATGCTAAATTTGTGGGTTACTTTCACTTAGTTGCCATTGTCATTGTCATTTTTGTCATGATAAAAGTTCAAATCAAACACACTTGGTGCTCAAAACTATACCCATATGACTATTTCTGTTTTATTCATTTTTAATTTTATTTTTAAAGTTTCAATTGGTCCAAACAAAATCTTTTTTTAATTTTTTCTGTTTTATTTCTTTTCTTTTTTAATTTCATTTTTAAATTGTTTGGAGTACACTTGAAAATTCACCAATAAATGAACAAAAGTGCTACAATTATCATGTCAAATAAAAAAAATTATACATCAAAGTAACATTTATTCAAACAAAATTACTAACACATCATCCACATCCTTTTAATTGAATATTTTGTATAAAGTTTATATAAGAATAACAATTTTCCAATAATATAGTGCTGTGAACATTTGGTGGAGACCTTATCTTTATGGGTGCATTTGATTAGACGGACTGGATAAAGAGGGATTAGAATCGTGAGACTGTGAATCCCCCGGATTATTTGGTTGGATTAGATGTGTATCCCGTGTTTGTTTTTTCATGAGATTGGACTGGAAAGGATAAATGAGCAAAAGATTATTTTATCATTTTTTAATTGTTTACTAAGTAATAGCAATATTAAACATATCTTTAATATTTTAATTATTTTTAGCTAACTATCCAACATAACAAATAAGAAAACGTATTCCCACGAATCACGCATAATCAAAAACACTGAAGGGTATAACCGTCCACACCACGACGACGTACATGGAAAAATATGCTGAAAAGGACCAAATCTCTCTACTAGTAGGACTTACTGGATCAAAAGTTTAAAGTTGGGACTGATTGGTATAATTGGTTGTGGAATGGGATTTACTAGTAAATAATCCTAAAATATCTATAAAAAATTATTTTAAAAAATTAAATAAATAAAACATCAATAAAAAGTTAAATAAAATTGAGGGTCAAAATAGTTATTTCACCACCTAATCCCAACAGTGAATTATCCCATGAAAATAATCCTACTCCCCTAGGATACAATAGTCCCTTATATGACGGATATAGAGTCTGACCAGACTCCATGTCCGGCGGACAAAAAAAAAAAAACAAACGCTAGATAAAAAACTTCTATCGGATTACAATCAGAACAGTATTTAATCTCTTCCTAATCCCCCAATCAAACACACCGCATGGGAAAAAATCCTATTGTGGTACTGGTAAGGGAAAGAAAGAAAGAAAGAAAAAACAAAGGTTTGGAAATATGGGATGAACAATGACTTGATGTGGCTGAGTGAAAGCAACAAATTAGTCAATTATTTTTTTCGGCAAAACAAAGATAAGTTTGGAATAAACTCATATCAATCAAATCGCTATCTTTGGCTTTTGAAAATCAATCCATAAAAATTCTAATCAAACCTATTGTAGTGTTGTGTAAAATGACCATAACATTGGACAATACTCTAACCGTACATGAATTTAGATTTAGATCCACCAGATGTGATATATATCATTCCCCAAATTGATAACCTTTTCCTCTTTCTTGGTGGCCAAAGTTTTGTTAATCTTTCCCAGGTGGTGACCCATCATTTCCAGTTAGGTGACTTTTACACCAAGGATCATGTCTCTTACTGGTAGCCGCTCTCGGTGTCCCATCATTTCTAGCTAGGTGACTTTGCAGAGCCCCCCGCGGTGGTCCCCAGTGTCCCGTCATTTCTAACTAGGTGGCTTCACGAATTATGTCTACAGGTAGCAACCCTCCTTAGGGTACCCCATCAATGACTCACTCCATGAACTCATTTGGCTTGGATTGGAAGGAGAAGGTGTCGAAAATGTTTATCTTATGTTAACCAATGCAAGATCGTAGCAGAAAAGGTGCTCACAACGCTTATATTCTAATGACTAAACTATGACTTAAGCAATGTGGGACAATTGTTGGATCATAACATTTTAACAGATGTTAAAAAAAACAGATATAATCCAAACAAGGGAAGGAAGGGGTAACCAAGGGCATAATGATATGAGGCCTAGAGTCATATAGGAAAGGCCTAGACAAGTAATCACGATCTCAAGATGGCTAAGCCTTAACATCGATAGCGCAGGTTTAATGGGCATGAATCTTGCAGCCACAGGACACCAAGAATGTCACTAAGATATCACATGACCAAATGGACAAGGGTTTTTAAAAGTTCTCAATACAACATACAATAAAAAGAACAATAAAATATATAAACATTCAAATTTGGGACTTATGAAAAGAATTTTAATTTAATTTAATTTTTTTTTTTGGATCACCCATCAAGTTACCAATCCACGTTCGGTTTCTTGGCCTTGCCAAAACTTGAGCAAAATCTTGTCTTCTCCTCACTTTCATTTTTCTGTAGATCTATTATAAACAAAATAAATAGACATCATCAACCCATCTTCTATACAAATATTTAGTTCATTGATCAGAATTTAAGATAGAATAGTATGTTCCCTATAATTCAATATATTGAAGTTCGGTACAGAAAGAAGATAAGCATGATTCAAAATTACAAAACTAGATGTAGCCAATTAAACTTTTTCTTTAATTACCAGAGAGAAAATGTAACTTTTAAACCCACAATCGCCCTCCACACTCGTAAGTGACATTGCATGATTCGGTAACTATAACAGTGTAATTGTGCACTGGCTTGGAAAGGGAAGGGGGCAACTGATCCAGAACACCACAGACACACTCAGCATCCACCTCCTTCACCCAATGACAGCAATCCTGTTGTACGGGTGATTCTTGATATCTGTATTCGTGCATGTGTGCGTGTCTGTGTCCGTGTCCACGTTTGTGCCTGTGTCCGTGGTCGTGCCCGTGTTCCTGTCTGTGTTCGCGCTCGGGTCCATGTCTATGCCTGTTTCCATGGTTTCGGCCATCATCATCAGGCAAGGGAGGTGAAGACGGTGGTGAAGGAGGGGGCAAGGACATGTGTGGCAGCATTGCACAAGCACGGTTCACCAATGCAAACTGTGTGATGCAAAGTGGAGGAGGCAAAGGCATATCGCACTTTGTCTTGAGGATAAGTGCCAGGAACACCAATAAGAATGTTAATTTAAGAATCTTGGTTGCATCCATGCTCATAACTCCTTTTGCTAATGGGCAGCGAAGGAATGTAGTTATGAAGTAATCCTCGATTCTATCTATACTAAAGCAAATCATGTACTTCTCATTTCCTTAATTTAGGTTTTCTGGTGGGTTGATTAGATAAAAGAGAACAGCAAAGAAAGTGCATTGGTATGGTTGTTAACAAAAAGGAGAAGTTTAGGTTCTGAATAGTTTAGCTTCATTCATTTTGTGTTGAGGTGCTGTTTTTGTGCCCAAGAATTAAATAGAAGGGCAAATGTAATATGCAGTTTCGTAAAATGATTATGTGCCATCAGCCCCAATGCCCCATAACAACTGAGAAATCAATCTATAAAGTGTATGCAATTCAAATAGAAAAACTACACACAAATTTTATCCATAAATGATGCGGTAGATTAGGATTTTATATAACTTTAAAACAAAAGCGAGCTTCTAAATGTCACTGTTACATCATTCTCGTTAGGAATTACGCGTAAACTATGTTTGGATCTCAGAGTTGTTGAGGGGGAAAGGAAAATAAAAAGAGAATAAAATACTTGTACTTGCTTTTTATTTATTTATAATAATAAAATAAAGGCTTAGCTTCTCTCACTTCATTTTATTTTCCTATCTTTCTCCCTGTCCTTTTTCTTTCCTTTCACAAATACAAGAACCAAACAAAGCACAGAATAATTATTTTTTTTAGAATTTCCCATAAAATAAATGGTCAGCAATAGCAATATTTTAAATACAAACAACTCAGTATTTTAAATTTAAAAAAAATCAACATTATCAAAACTACATTTTAATAAAGTCATCAATAACAATAATGGAATTATCGCATGAACTTTTTTTGTTATTAGCGAACAAAAATATTTTCACTAATATAATATGAAATATATGAACACCGTCAAGGGGGGGGGGGGGGGGGGAAAGGATGTCAAAGGAGATTCCATTTTTTCCCCAAGTGAAACTTTGAAAAACCAAATGAATTGTAAATATTCAATTGAAACACTATGCACATGTATCCACATCGAAGGTTTGTCTAAAGGCCTGATGCGGCAGTTACAGTCTTCATATACAGAAAGGAGAAAGGACAGTCTTACTACTTTCATTCATAGGATTGAAGATTTCTTCTTCTTCTTTTTTAAAGGGTGAAGGGGTTCGACTATACAAACAGATATGTTCACATAGCATACTCCGAATTGCAAGCATGAGCATCTTGATGCACAATTTAGATCAAGATTTGCAAATTATTCAACAAAAAACCTAACAAGAATGAAATTTGCACAAAAAAAGATTGGCAAATGGATGAACCAAGCAAATCAAAAGAACCAAAGTGTATTCAACATATTTACCAGAATCTGAAGCCATCAAAGCAGTATCACAATCACCACCAATCCTTTGAAATGATTGTCTTCCCAAAGACAGCTCTCCAAATACATAAAGCTTCCTTGTCCACAAATTAAACCATCAAAACAATTCAAAATTTTGTGGATATCACAAATATACAGATAAGACATGTAACCCTACAAAAACATATTTATGGTGATAAGCTGAAGTGACACACACTAGTAAAGCATACTGAAAAATTTTAGAAGGAACTTGGTTACCTGCCAGAACATAAGAAATTCAGCATAAAGATGTAGGCTAAAAGAAGTAAATGGGGCTTTCATGTGTATTTTTGAAACTACAAGTAATCTCCAGATAAAATCATTGATTTTTACAATGCAATTAGTTATCAAAATAACTTGGAAGACAGGGTTATATCGACATCTCACCAATATGCACTGATGCAGATGCTTTTAGTATCCTAATGGTCAATAAGCAAGAAATTAAATTAAAACCAGTCAGAGAACTGGATTCTGGCATCAGAATTAACTACAGGAAAGATGGTCACTGAAGAAAGTAATTGTAAATAACTATCAAAGATGAAAAACATGCCATAGATCTAAAAGGGTACCACAATGTGCATTATACATTTCTGTTTCTCAATTCAAACAACAAAAATGTTAAATATATAATGCGTGATTTTTGCATATATTTTCAAAGGTACACTAATTAAATGACACTTGGGAACTAATTAAAATTCAAACTAGAAACAACTTTTAGTTTAAATAGGAAGATTTTATATACCGTTACTTTGCTTGCTTCCTCAAGGCTACCATGATGTGCCCACTACCTTCATCCTACAGGCATAATCATAAAGAATTAAAATAATAATAGCAATCTAAATACAGTAGCTCCAATGTCCTTTTTCTTTTTTGTGTTCCGATTTTTTATGTTCCTACTTTACATTTAAAATTGATGTCATGAAAATTTAAAACATAAATATCTGTATTCCAATAGAAAATACACCATGGTACTATTAATTATTAAAAATGAACAATAATGCAGACCTAAAACAGAACCAAACAGTGGAATAGCCTTGAAAAATGTCTGGGCAATGAAAAGCATTCACCTCCATGATTATTAACCAATTTAGAACCTTCCTGAAGATATATCTGCAGTGGCTTTTATGATGTTAGGGAATTTACTGATAACCTGGTAAATAATTTCATTCATTGTTGTGGCAATGCTATAAAGCAATATCATATACAGGTTTTTTTTCAGTGGGGCAATAACACAATAAAAACCGGCTTGCAAGGATAGGATGCCCAGGAGACTTGTGTGCACATGGCTAAGACCTTTGTTAACCAATGTGGGATTGTTACAAAAAACGTGTGAGCGTATATTCACATGGTTAAACTCTGACTTTAGCAACGTGGGACAATTGTTAGATCATAACATACGAACAGATGTAATCCAAACTGGGAAGGACAGGGCGACCAGGGGCATGATGGTATGAGCCCTACCTGTTTGGGATTCATATATTAGAGGTCTAGAGAGGTCCATAAACAAGAGAATCCATAGGTACTATCTCAAGATGGCTAAGCCATAACGCTGGTAACACAGGTTTAATGGGCATGAGTCTTGCAGCCGCAGAACATAGGGAATTTGTCACATTGATATCACATGACCAGTGGACAAAGGTTTAAAGTTCTCAATACCAAACATGCAATAAAAAGAGCCATACACTATAAAAAAATAAAAAATAAAATTTCAAATTTGGCACTAATGAAAAGAACGTTAAAAATTATTTTCTCACCCATCAAGTTGCCAATCCACCTTCTGTAATTGTATTGTAAACAAACTAAATAGACATCAAGTTATTTTCTATACAAATATTTAGTCCATTGATTGATATTAAGATAGGTAGTATCATATGTTCCCAGCGACACAGCTTCAATATACTCCAAACAGTCATACTAACTGATCGAAATATTACATAATTCAAACTTACAAAGCTAGATGTAGTTAATCAAACTTTTTCTATAATTACCAGAGAGAAAATGTAACATTTAAACACTCAATCGTCCTGCACACTGGAAAGTGACACTGCATGATTTGTCAACTGTAACAGTGTAATTGTGTAACGGCTTGGAAAGGAAAGGAGGCAAGCGAACCAGAATACCACAGACACACTCGGTGTCCACCTCCTTCAGCAACTGACAGCATTCCTGTTCTACGGGTGATTCTTGGTATCTATGCCCGTGCCCATGCCCGTGTGCATGCCCATGCCTATGTTTGTTTCCGTGGACTCGATCATCATCATCAGGTGGGCAAGGTGAAGGTGGCAAGGGAGGTGAAGGTGGTGAAGGCGGTGAGGGAGGTAAAGGTGGACAAGGCGGCAACGGAGGTGAAGGTGGTGAGGGAGGTGAAGGCGGCAACGGAGGTGAGGGAGGTGAAGGTGGTGAGGGAGGTAAAGGAGGTGAGGGCGGTGGTGAAGGCGGTGGGGAAGGAGGTGAGGGAGGGGGTAGTGGCATATATGGCAGCATTGCACAAGCATGGTTCACCAGTGCAAACTGTGAAGCACAGAGTGGAGAAGCATAAGGTGGAAACATATATGACTGGCACTTCGTCTTCAGATTAAGTACCAGGAACACCAAGAAGAATGTTAATTTTAGAATCTTGGTTGGATCCATGATCATAACTTCCTTTTGCTAATATGCAGCAAAGGAGTGTAGTTATGAAGTACTCCTTGATTCTATTTATACTAAAGTAAATCATGTACTTCTCATTTCCTTAATTTAGGTTTTCTAGTGGGTTCATTAACTAAAAGAAAATAGCAAAGAAAGTGCATTGGTATGGTTGTTGATGTAAAAGAGAAATCGGGTTCTGAATAGTTTAGAGAGCCTCATTCATTTTGTGTGAGGAGTGTTTTTGTGCTCGAGAATTATATGCCCCCAAAAAAAGGAGCTGAAATGCCAAATTTGCTGCAGCTCACATAATAAAAAATAAAATAAATATAGAATGGTTAGAAAGGCAAATGAATATGTAGTTTGTTAAATGATTATGTGCCATCGGCCAGCCCCAATACCCCATGACAACTGAGAAATATAAATATGAAGCGTAATAGTAATACTATATACAAATAGAAAAACTATACCAAAAATGTATTCATAACTGATGTCATAGATTCGGTTCTCTAACTTTAAAACAAACGCCTCATCAAGCAAACTTCTAATTTTAAGAATGTCACTAGCATATCATTTTTGTTAGAAATTATACACCACTATGTTTGGATTTCGGATTTATTGAGGGAAAGGAAAAGAAAAGGAGAATGAAATTACTTGCTCTTTCTTTTCTTTTCTTGTTTTCTTTTAAATAAGTAATCAAGAAAGAAAATGTTTAGATCGCTCACTTCATTTTAATTTTCCTATCTTCTCCACGTTCTTCTTCTTTCCTTTTACAAATCCAAGAACCAAACAAAGCACAAAATAAATATTTTATGGGGAAATTACACAAATAACCCATGGTTTTGTCTAATCACAAATTAAACCTTGAATTTTTAATTTTTTTCAACTAAAACCCTGCACTTTATAAACTATATCTATGTCAACACTCTGTCCATTTCTGTCTAGGTGTCTAACAGAGCGAAAAAATGCATAGGACACGTGGCACCCATTACGCTTCTCTCTCCCCTTTTTCTTCCTCTCATTCTGACTCTTCTCTCTACTTTTCTCTCTTCAACTCTCTTTCTCTTTACAGACCCAGCTCTGGTTTTGACACTGGCCACTGCCTCACACTACCATAGGCACTCCACCACTGTCGCTGTTACCCATTTTTAAAGAAGAAAGTTAAAATGAAAAATATTTTTTTTACTAACAAAGAGAAATATTTTACTAACATGAAAAATATGAGCATTGTCAGAGGAGATTCCATATTTTTCCTAAAGTAAGTGAAACTTTTAAAAACCAAATGAATTGTAAACATTTAATTGAAATACAAAGCACATGTAACCACTTTGGAGGTTGGTCTAAAGGCCTGATGCAGCAGTTACAGTCTTCATATATAGAAAGGAGAAAAGACAATATTACTACTTTCGTTCATAGGATCAAAGATTTCTTCTTCTTTTTTTAAAATGGAGGACGGGTTTGACTATACAACCAGATATGTTCACAAAGCATATTCTGAATTACAAGCATGAACGACATCACAATTTAGAACAAAATTTGCAATAAAAGACCTAACAAGAATGAAATTTGCACATAAAAATATTGGCAAATGGATTAACCAAGCAAATCAATAGAAACAAGGTCTATTCCACATATTTACCAGAATCTGAAGCCATCAAGGCAGTATCACAGCCACCACCACTCTATTGAAACGACCATCTTCCCAAATTCAATTTTCTTCAGCTCTACAAATACATAAAGCTTATTTGTCTACAAATTGAGCCACCATAACAATTCAAAAATTTATTAATATCACAAATATATAGATAAGCCATGTAACCCATAAAACATATTTATGGTGATAAGCTAATGCAGACACTTCATGACAATAAAAGTTGGGTTTTAGGAACTTGCACACAGTTGATACACAAAACTCTCAGTTAATGACCATTAAATCAGAGTTCATCAAATGGTGTCCTACCAGCAATGAGGTCAAAGCTTTGCTTGCGCAAATAAATACGTATTTGTATTGATTGATGTGCCTTGATTTTGTTTTTTAGTAAGAAGAAAAAGAAAAGGATGACATCAATGATTTCATCATCAATGCATAGATAATTAGTCATGTAAGCACATTGTAGATGATATAATATAGAAGCAAATCTTACAACTACGGAGATTGGAGAGATTCAGTTTGCTAATAATCTGAAAATCTCTCCTGTTCACTAGTACAGCATACTGAAAAAGCTTAGAAGGAACGTGGCTGCTTGAACTTAGTTTCCTGTCAGAACATAAGAAGTTCAGCCTAGAGATGTAGGCTAAAGGAAGTAAATGGGGCTTTCAAAAATAACTTGGAAGGCAGGGTTATATCTACATGTTGCTGAGTGATGATGCAGAGTGTTGATGCAGATGAGTTTAGTATCCAAATGGTCACCACAGCAAGCATTTGTAAATGGTAATCAATGATGAAAAACATGCCATAGATTTAAAAGGAACCACAATGTGCATTATATTTTTGTTTCTCCATTGAAACAACAAAAGAAATATATATTGAATGATTTTTGCATATATTTTCAAATGTATACTAAACCAAATGTATACTAATCAAATAACATTTGGGAACTAATTGAAATTAAAATTTGAAGCAACTTTTAGTTTAAACATGAAGATTTTTATAAACCGTTACTTTGCTTGCTTCCTCAAGGCTACTATGATATGGCCACTACCTTCAACCAACAAGCAGAATTCACAAAGAATTAAAATAGTAACACTAATATAAATACAATAGCTCCATTGCCCCTTTTTCTAATCTTCCTACCATACATTTAACATTGAGGCCATGAAAGTTTAAAAACATACACAACGTACATATATATCCGTACTCCAATAGAAAATACACAATGGTATTAAAAATCAAGAATAATGTAGACCTAAAACAGAACCAAACAATGGAACAGCCTTGAAAAAAGCTTCGGCAATGAAAAGGATTCACATGGAGATATTAAAAATCATGAATAATGTAGACCTAAAACAGAACCAAACAATGGAATAACCTTGAAAAAAGCTTCAGCTATGAAAAGGATTCACCTCCATGAGAATTTACTGATAATCAGTAAATAAATTCATTCATTGCTGTGGCAGAGCAACAAAGCAAAATCATCGACAGGCCTTTCGCAGTGGGCAATAACTTCAGTTTTGTCTCATGTCAAGCCAGGGTAGATTCTCATTCATCAAAACTTTGCATTTGCATTGAACTATTTGCAAACATGAATAGAAGGAAAGACCATATTGAGTTGTTTCTCACCATCGTCTTTTCATGTATTGGCTATGTACTTCATAGTTTTGCATTGCCAAATGCCATAATTATTGATTCTTTCTTCCTGACATTCCTTTATGGTCTCAATTTTTCTCTAGGCAGATATCTACAACATTACAAGATCATGGAAAATCCCAACATCGGATTTTATTGAAGTGAAATTGACAATGGGGCACATGATGAAATTGTTGTAGGAGGATATGAAAGGAAAATTGTTGTATGGGGAATATTGGCAGAACATATCCAATTTTGTTGTAGGAGGATATGAAAGGAAAATTGTTGTATGGGGAATATTGGCAGAACATATACCTGCAATTGTTAACAGCTATGATGGGCAAAGCCTCTTGTTGTGCACGCCAAAATATATTAAGTCATTTGTATGTATCAAGCACAAATTTATCCATACACAAAATTACTTGGAGGCTTCCAACACGTAACACGGAAACCTTGATTGCTCCATTCCCAAATGATGAAGCTATCGCACAAAAATGTCTTCCAAACAACAAAAGGCAACCACCCTTGATAGCAGTTTCACCAATATATAAGATCCAGCTGCTTTCATCAACCATCTAAATCTTCAAACTTTTGCAATTGTTCCCCGCATTCGGGCTAGTGTCGTTCACTATTTCCCATTGCCATCATTTCTATATCTTTATGAACTGCTTCCCTCTGCAACCTCAGCTGCTCAACTCTCTCCCTGCGTCCCTCATCCAACAACTCAACAAATTTGTCTGTTATTTCAAGAATCGGATCCCGGTCAATCAATTCATCATCCTTGTACGCCTCCCTCAGCACTGCAGTCTTTATCCCACCTTTCAAAGACATGTAAAATATCCCCGAATGCCTTGTGAACACGCTTGAGAACGCATTTGAAAACCTATACTCTTCATTAAACTTTCCCAAAATCGGCACTGGGATCCTCTTGAAAAGAGAAAGCGAAAGCAACTCATGAAAAACCCCAACAGTCCTCTTCTCCATTTCTCGCGATGATGGGTCCAATTGGGATGCATTATCATAGGGCGAAATGTATGGAAGTTCCATCCAATCCCTAACCCATTCCCTCATTTCCTTCCTAAGAAAGAACCCAGGGGGAAGCTTAACATAAAAAGATGGTCTAATCCTTATCCCCGTCAACCTCGACTCCTCATCTGCCCTTTGCTCTATTGCTGACTTCGCAAACTTGGAATCCCATGAAACCAGTTCAAGAAATGATTTTTCCTCTCCTGGATGCTCAACTAGCCTAAAATATTCAGGGTATTTTGGCACCAAACTGACCATAAAATCATCGGGAAACCCAAATTCCCTCTTGACATGTACCAATTTTTCTGCACTAACCACGTTATTCTTCGACATCATTAACAATTTACACAATTTCGCAACAATTAACGGCTCGTTTTCAGTCCTAATTCTCTTTTCTTCTTCTAAAAATCGCTGCAGCCTATCGCTAGCACGAATAAAAGGGACAGGCTCTGATTTGGGTCTGATTCGATCGAGATAGGTATCGAAGAGACCGGGGTTTCGGGCAAGAAAGGTCTTGATTGTGATCAGGCCTAGATTGCATGTTTCCAGTCTTGGACGACGTTTCTCTAAGTAACGAAGTGGGATAACTTGACCTGGCTCGTTTAGTACCTCTTTGACGACTCTTGCACAGAGTCTCCATTGTTTATCGTTTTCAATGGCTTGGTCTAGCTTGATGTCTTTACGCCAAGCTACTTTGAGGCTCGAAACTGAAGATATGAACTGAGACAAAACCCTAAACCTAGATTGTGAAGTGGATCGTCCGAAACAGTTCAGGTAATAAGAGATGGTATGAGTGCTGAATTGCATACCTGAGACTCAGTGAATTGTGAACTGAACCAGCAGCGTTTGGATCTTGACAATGTTTATTGACTGTTGGAAACTCGGGTTTAGGGTTTTACCGGCGGGGAAATATGAATATTAATAAGCGGTCGTGGGGGGTTTTGCCTTTTTTTAGAGTAAAAAGTTGAGAAGAAAATAGTTATCTGGAATAAATTTTTAACTTTTTATGAAAAAAATATATATTAAAAAATTATATAAATTAGTATATAGGAGAAGATTGGAATGGAATAGACAGTACGGTGGGATGAGTTAAGGGACAACGTGGCTGGAAGATAATTCCCTGCTTTTCGGGTATTGAATCGAAGGTGTTGTTCGGCCTGTAGGGACTCACCACGGATTCCGTTTTGTTAATCAAAACCGTTTAATGTGTAGAACTCGTCGAGTACTATATACTTATAAAAAATCACGTTAATCGAATATCGATAGCTACCTGATCGGATTAGTTTTTTTCCAACCGTTAACTATAAAACTATCCATTTTATAAATTTTAACTTATTTGATCATATACTTAGCGATATTTAATCAATGTAATTTTTCATAATTACATAGTACTCGACGAGTTCTACACATTGAACGGTTTAGATTATTAAAATGGGACCCGTGATGGCCCCCACAAACCGAATAGTATTGTGTTATTTGTACACCCCCGCCTGTACTGTGTAATTTGTCCAAAAAGTCAACTCCCTGTGAGGACGTCAGAGTTGTTTGGAAATTAATTTTATATAAAATTAATTTTTTAATATTTTTTTTAAATAATAATAACTTTTTAACATTTTAAATTTTTTTGAATATCCCAAACCTGACCTAATTTTCTCGGCTACCAAACAACCGATTCGGTAGGAGGGTTCGAAGGTCCGCAGTGATCGTAGGCCTCGTTTTAAAATTTTATTAGACCATCTCCAACGGTTCATCAAAGTTGACATCAAATTTAAAATTTAGTAAAAAAGTTATTGTTTGGTGCTCCAACGGTTGCACCAAATCGATATCAAAATGAGATTTCATCAAACAATTCATCAAACTGAGGACAGAATACTGATTTCATCAAAACACTGTTTGTGACCGTTGGGGGAGAGAAAAAGGTTCAAACAGTATAAAAAAAAAATTTTTTTTTTGACCAACCGGTTGACCGCCTAAAGGTTCAAACGGTTCGAAGAAAAAGGTTCAAACAGTATAAAAAAAAAAAAAAATTTTTTTGCCTAACCGGCCGACCAGCCGGTCGACCACTAAAAGGTTCAAAAAATTCAAAAAAAAATCAAAAAAAAAAAAAAATCGCCTAACCGGTCGACCAACCGGTTGTCTCGGCGCAAATTTGATGAAAATTCACCGTTTGAGCGAGTGATATTAGATTTGGTAAAATGGGTCATTTTTTACTCAGATTTGATGAAAAAAAAAATGCACCGTTAGAGATGCTCTTATAAATGCTCATATCACTTTTTTTTATTGTTGTATGTTTTTTTTATAAAAAATTAAAAATTATTAAAATAATATATCCCTAAACGAGACTTTAGTTTAAAAAATTAAAAATTATTAAAATAATATATCCCTAAACGAGACTTTAGTTATTTGGGCTTCACAGAAGTCGAGCTTTTGAATTATGAAAATTTGAAAAGTAATATTATGATAATTAATTTCAAATATTTATTTTTGAATATCATCTAATATCATTCATACATAACGAATATCACATTTTATATTTTATATGATCAACAAAAGTTTGTAACCAAATTTAATTAAGGGTGAAGTACCAATAAATCCTAAATTATTAACTTCCACTTAGTCCTTTTTTTTTCCTATTGAACTGATAAGTCCTGAAATGTACAAAATGGCTAGGGGTGTAAATCTAGCCCGACCTGGTCCATGTCGGGCCTCGTGGGCTCCCGCCAAAAATTCTAGCTTGGCCGGGCCGGGCCACGAGCCAAAAAAACTAAGCCTACGGCCTAGCCTAGGCCCAGGGGTATTCGGGCCTTGAGCGGGCCAGTGGGCCGGGCCTCAGGCCTGCTCGGTGGGCCTGGGCCTAGCCTCGAGTTGGGGCAGGCTTGGGCGGGACTTGTCATTTTTTTAAAATTTTTAATTTTTTTTTTCTATCAAAAGTTTATTATTTTCTACTAAAAAATACACTGGGCCTCGGCGCGAGGCGGGCTTCGGGACAGGCCCGTGGGCCGAGTCGAGCTTCAAAACGATGGCCTAGGCCCTAGCCCAAGCGAGCCTAAACAGGTCGGGCCTATCTCGAGCAATGGACAGGCGCGGGCCATTTTTACACCCCTAAAAATGGCACATTTATCCCTCAATCACGTGCGTGTTTATGTTTTAATTTGAGGACAATGTGGGTTTTGTGTGTTGTTAAAATTACTTTTATGGACATAAAGCGCACTATGGGGTTTTATAGGTTTCTCACGTTTTGTGATCGAATCTTTGAAACATTAGTAATCCTAATCGGAGGCACATTGGTTTTATTGGTAAATGATCAAACATTGGTAATCAACAATTCCACATTTGAACATTCCCATGTTAGTGGATTGAAACCCTAAATGTGGGTTTTAGATTTCCAAAAAGAGATTGTACGAATTCCACGTTCGTGTTTATGGAGAAACAGTAATCAGAGGCACATCTAGACAACACACAACCAATACGAGCACGTTGGACTATGACCGATGAAGTTTGTTTCATCTTATCCGATGATTTGTTTAATAGTAACTGGCGTCAATGTTCGCTACGACCTATGCTGCCGATTAAGACATTTCCGGATTTGCAGAAGATGACAATGAAACTTGCAGGTGTGTAGTTTATGCAACTGAAATTGTTGTTTACATTTTGAAATTTTGACCATGTATTTCGTGTTTTGTTTGTTGATTTGGTGTGTTGTTGTTTTCAATGATTACCCCAATTTAATACGCAACGTGAAGTTAAGGCAAACTTAACTTGTGTTTATTTCAATTTATAGTGTAAATGTAGATGTTAATGTGACATTGGTGTGTGTTTTTGTCAATTTCTATCGTGGTTAGGGTGTTCAGTGAACGTCTTGGGTTTGGGTGCAGCAGATATGATTTTGTATCGAGCTGTAAATGTTAATAATGCCATGTTTGGGTGATTGATGTGCCATAGTTGTGATGCAATGTCGAATGTGTTTAATGGTATTTTGTCAGTGTGCCAATTCGTAGCGTTGCGAATGTTGTTGATTGTGTAGAGGATCAAGGTTAAAGAGATGATTAGAGAAGCAAAACTATGTTAATGGTCTAACAATGGTGGAATGGATGGATAATGAGCAGCAGTAACTATCTGGGTAGTTGGAGAGTGTGTAGTTAGGTGAGGGTGAAGCAAGTGGCTCAAGAAGAAATGTATGGCAGTACCAAAATGGGCAGCATCTCCCCTAAATCTCAAAAATTCCTCCTCTTGAACCTTAGGAAATGGGTCCTATTTATAGGCTTTTCCTTAGTACAAAGAGCACACTAAGTGGCCAAATAGAGAGAAGACATGTGTCGCAGAAGATCACAAGGAATATTCTGCCTTGAGCCACCAGGCTGAAGGTGCCATGTGTCCCTCTACATGTACTGTGTACTATCTGTTTGCCTCTGCAACTACCTTTTTTGAGCTTCAGCAAGTGTAGTTGCAACAGGAGTGTTTGGCACTGCAACTCCCGTTTGAGCTTCAGCAAGTGCAGTTGCAGCAGGAGTGTTTACCGCTGCACTTGGCTTCTCAGCTCGAACCTCAGCAAGTGTACTTGCAGTGGTAAACCTTGCTGCTGCACTTGCCTTCTCAATTCTATTTGGCCAGTACATGCATTCTCAAGACTCCATTAGTCTGCTATCGACTATGTTTGTGCTCACCTCAGCGAAGTCTCCATCCTTAGCCACCTAACCACAAACTCCCCAGCTTCCCAAGGCGAAAGCCACGACCAAGCTTGCTATCAGCCATGTTGTGCCTTAGTACCAAGCTCAAGGGGGCTCTCTTAGTCCTACCTGTGCGACTAAGGCAAGTCCATGACTTGGGTAATAGAAAGGAAGTCCCTTACACTTGGGCTACCTTACTCCCATCTTCGCGAGATCGCCGCCTAAATTAGTATCTCTGGGCCTGCTATCAGCTCCAACCAGTAAGTCTTGGGTCCTGCTATCAGCGCCAAGTTAATAAACTTTAGGGTCTGCTATCAACCCTAGGCTAGTAATGCCTCTACAACTTGGTTGCTTCGGTTCCATCATTCCCTCAGCAACTCCAGGTGGTGGCGGAACCGACAATACTTAGAATGACAGCGGTACCGACAATACTTGGAATGGCGGTGCTGAGACAAAGTGCCTCCGCAACTTGGCTGTCGCAAGTGTCGCCTCCGTAACTTAGTTCTCTTTTTTCTTTCCCTCAGCAACTTCAGATGGCAGCGGAACCGAAGATATTAGGAATGACGGCGCTAAGGCAAAGTGTCTCAACAATTTTCCAGCTGCATGTATTGCCTCTGCAACTTGACCGTTGCATGTGTTGTCTCTGCAACTTGACTTAGGCATTTTCCTTCGTGGAGTCCATTTGGACCCTTTGGCGGGTCGGACCTACTTCGACCCATTGTTGGCCCACTTTCCCTAGGCTTTGGCCCATACTCCCCTAGTCATTCCTGGTCGCCTTAAAGGGGCAACCCCAACGCTTAGGTCCATACTTAATTTGTGGTTTAATTTCTAACCTTCTGTATTTGTCCTCTGCGCTACTAGGGGACACGTTCTTGGTTTCCCGTGCGTGCATGACGTTTACAAGTAACCCAAGGGTTGCGTCGATTGGGTCAAAAGTTGCGTCGATTCTGAAAAGGTGCCCCCTTTGACTGACAGGTCATAATGAGCCTAAGGAAGCGTGTTGGCACCTTTTTGCTGCTTTATTTATAAATAGCCCCCCTTGGGTCCACCAAGCCCCCACTTCTACCACAACATACTTTCTTGTCACCTTGTTTTATTCTCTTCCTTGCCCCCACTTTCTAAAGTCTTCTTTACTTTTCTTCATTCTTCCTCATGGCCAGCACAAGGTTTCTACCCGACAAGGCTGCCCCATCCCCTACTGAGTGGAGGAGGGCCCCATACTTCGGAGGGCTAGCTGACCTTTTTTGGAAGACAGTTGACTCA